TACTTGACTAACTTAAACTTAAAATCAAAACCTAATAAACAAAGAATAAAACTTAGGGAAACCAAGCTTAGCCTGGTTCCTTTGAAACTTAAAGTTTAAGAAGAACAAGTATAGCCTACTAATAGTAATAGTCATCATAGATAGAATAGATAGAGAGAGTGGAGGAAGTAAGTGAGAAGAAGTAAGAAATGTAGTAAAGTGAGAATGGAGTACTCTATCGAGGTGGGTCACCTCTTTTATAGGACAAGTGCCAGAAATCCTTCCTCTTATGCCCAAATTTCATTCCTCACCCACAGAAATGTTAGGGTACACTTACCCCACAGGCTAGTATGTATGTGTGTATGGATGACATGTATGTACGCACTTGTAGTGTACTTGTTAAGTTTGTGGGTACAACATTGAAAACCCCCCTATGCCATGCTCCATTGTCTATTGGTCTAGATAAAAGGTCATAGACATAGGCATGGGTATTTATCTATTTAGGTATAGGATAAACAAGATAAAAGGTCAACTTTACTTTCTGGGTAAAAGGGCCCAATATAGATATGCTAACTTTGCTTTAGCTTAACATACATGTTTTTGGCCTGTAGGTCTTTTGCATTACAGCCAAACTTACTTTAATATAAATCTATAAACCTATTACAATAAACCAAATACTTAAACTATAAGAAAAGATATATGCGTGTGTGTGTGTACACACACACACACACACACACATACACACGCAAGCAGGTTAGTCCTATAGGCTACAATCTGCCAGGACAGTCACCCAAGACTTTCGTTCTAGGATGCAACCCTGCTCTTCCCAGTGAGCCAGTGAGAACTCCCACAGCCTGTCTGCTGGGTGCATCCTTGTCAGGGAAGCATCCTTCACTCCCCCTGGCCCTCACACTGTTCTCTGTGGTATCCACTCTCCAGCAAGGGGATGCCAGCAAGTAAGCCCTTCCTCTTCTTCCCTTTCTTACAGCTCTCTCTAGCCCTTAGCTCTGGCTCTCCAGCTTAGAGCCAGCAGGCATCTCCCTCTTCTACCTTCAGTCCTGGCTCTCTGGCTTGGGGATGCCAGCCAGAAAATACCAGATGTTGTTCTTTGCCTTCAGCCTTCTCCCAGGAACCATCTTCTCTATCTGGCAGCTCTCCTGTCCTTCTCCCATCTGACTCCCGACTCATCTTCTACAACCCATCCAGATGTGTCCCCACTCTCTTAATTGGCCCAACTGGGAGCATGTGGACTGGAATGGGAGAGCTGATCCCAGTTCAATTAATGGGTCAACAACCCTGTTGCAGAAAACAAAAGACACATTCCTAGTACCAGCAAAATCTCCTGGCCAAATTCCCAGCCTGAGAAAGTTCTGTCTCCTGCACAGATGAGCTTTATTCTTATTGTTGTGAGTTTCATTGTGCCAGAGAGAGAAGCTCTTCATCCTGGAGCTTTATATTGTCTTTTAGGTATCCTGGGCTCATGCCATGAAGCACCTTGAAGATAAGGGACGGACCCTTGAACTTGATTTGATACTCCTTGGGAAGCCAGTGCAGAAAGTGGAGGAGAGGTTTGATGTGCTCATGGTATCCAGTGTTGCTGAAGAGATGTGCTTCAGTGTTCTGTACTAGTGGGAGTCTTCTAAGTGCTGAAGACTTCATTCCTGGTAATCTCATTGCTGTAGTCCAACCAAGAGGTGATGAAGGCATTTATAACTTGAGGTCAGGCCATCATCTTCCAGGATGTGATGGAATCTCCTAGCCAACCAGAGATGACAGACAGTGTTACTTATGGCTGTTGTAATGCAAGAGCTCAGTGTCAAGAAGAAATCCAAGAGCACTCCTAGACTGTGATTTGAACTGACCTATTGTGGGTGGTGAACCATCAAAATGTTGTCCTCTGCCCACCAACATCACCTCTGTCTTTCTTGGGTTCAGCTTCAGCCAGCTGTGCTTAATCCATGAGCTGATATTATACCCATCTTGGTGGTAGTTGTGAGGTCTTATGTGGTGAAAGACAGGTAGAAATGTGTCATCCACATGAGTTCATGATATTTGACCATTTCACTGTTTCATGGTTGCACGTGGATGTTGAAAAGGACAGGAGAAAGAATTGATCCTTGTGGGACTCCACAAGTGAGGGATCTAGTGGTGGAGGTGCAGTTTCCCATCATTATTCATTGGTTGTGTCCTTCAAAGAAGAGCTTAAACCATTTAGTGCATCAGCTGAGAGAGCAGCAGCAGCTCATGGTCAACAGTATTGAATGCTACAGAGAAATCGAGTAAGGCTAAAATTTGGCTAAGTTTTAAGTCACTGAAAACAGCGTGTAATCATGGGAACTACTGGGCAACTTTAACTTTAGGCATCACTATCTGCACTGCCTATAATGCAAATTTCACTCAGTGAAGAGTCAGCATAAAACAGGTGCATCAAAATTCTGTTTTGGAAATAGAGACATATGGATGCACCTCTGCAAGCCTTTCACATAGGTTGACAGTTACTTTCTGAACTTTAGGACCAGCCTGGTTGTTCTTGCACATGAACAGATGACAACACATTTCGACATACCTTCTCATAGATTCTAAAGATACTCTAAAGACACATAAAGCCTTAAGTAATTGGTTCAAACCATTTACTTCTCTTTGGTGGTAAGCAGAATCCAGGTTTGCATTAGTGTGTGTTCAGGATGTGCATTTTTCCTCTATTTTTTATTTCTTTTTAATAAACTTTGTCATCCATACAATGATCAGAGAACTTAGTGATGCTAGCAAGTTTTTTGTTTTTTTACACTTTTCTCCTCCTTGCCATTGTTTTAATACTATTAAAAAGCTTGAAAATATTACATTTTCTTTTACATTTTTCTTCTTCCAGTTTTGGGGGAAAAAAACAAAACAAAAAGAGCAAGCACAATAGTAATCCAATATTCCTCGTATTTCCTTATTTGTCTATTGGCCTCATCAGTGGCAGCACAACTCTCTGAATTGGAATGTGTGTGTTAATTTGTATTCTCTGTGCTTTTCTTCTGCAGGACTAAGTCACTGAGTTTAGATATAATAACCCATCCCTCCAGCCAAAGCCAGAGCTTTATGAAGGTCCTAATAAAAGTTTGGGTCAAGGCCTCAATATCAGTCATCCTCTCATTGTCATTATAAATGACCCTAAGCATTTTCCAGCGCCACTCCCAGCAGATCTCTTTCACTATTTTAAAATATTTTGATAAACACATTTTTTTCCTACACTGACCTCAACGTTTTTTTTGTCTCCCCTACTCTTCTACCTGCCAACTGAGTCCATCAGGATTTTGCAGGTGGCTAGCTATCTTTGAAGTACAGAAGAATACAGTATTTTTGGTCATCAGTCCCACAATAAGTGTCATCACCATGTAGAATAAGTAACTCTGGGGAAATGTTTAGAAGCCAAAACTAGAAGTAAAGTTTGAATACAAGCTGCAGGTTTTTCCTACTAATATCCATAACTCAATGTCAGATCTTTCAGCTTCTGTATTCATTGGCTTACATAACTGTAACTATTTCCTGAAACTATGGAAAGGCCATCAAGATCTCACATGCACATAAACACACCCACATACTTGCATACAAATCCAGCAGATGCAGAGTTGAAACTTGTAAATAAGTAGCATTTCACAGGATACAGTACTCACTGATTAAATAAATCCTTGTATGTGTAATACCTTACAATAGGCACATTCTGCTCATTTATGATGGCTGTTCAACCTCTTGTCATTACAGAGCATCTTGGGCTTCACTTAGAGTGACCAGATGTCCCGATTTTACAGGGACTGTCCCAATATTTGGGTCTTTTTCTTATATAGGTTCCTATAACTTCCCCCACAATCCCGATTTTTCACACTTGCTGTCTGGTCACCCTAGCCTCACTCTACTCATTTACACACTGAAGAATAACTATGCCTCTGTAAGTGAGAGCAGAATCAGTGCCCTTAATTACAGGCACTGAAATGGTTTAAAACTAACTACAGAAACTTTTCTTTAACTAAGCAAAACAAGATCAAGTGCATCAATATATCTGAATGGAATCATCTCACCAAACTCTGGTAGGATGCAGTGCAGAGACAGCAACAAGAAAACCCACAAACTGGACTACAATCATCATCATCTAACAATTAAAATATATATCTTTATTTAAATTCAGCCTTTATCATTCTTACTGAGGGCAGAATTTAAGACAAAAGGGTTGCACAGGTGTAACTACCAACACTTCAGTATGTAGTATGAGGAATCTTTCTAATGTGCTAAAGATGCACAAGTAAGGGGAAAAAACCACCTCTAGATTTTCAAATCCCAGGTTGAGTTAAGTAGGGCAACAATTAGGGGGAAAATAAAAACAAAAACAATGCATTTTGTAAACTGAGCAAACTTGTTATGGTAGCACATTGCAAAACAATAATCATAGAACTGCACAATGACCTTTTTTACACAGCCAGTTTGCAGACAGTTGTACTTGCAGTTTTACTTCTAACCTCAACGTGAGCAAGGTACTGGGCCCTAAATGGGGGAATTGGGCCCCAAAACAATAAGAAATACTATCAAGGGGCTACCAGAGTCATGCACATTCAATGGAGACCATACGAAAGAATTCGAAAGAATGAGGATTAGTTTCTTACCAATCATATGGGATTAATTCATCCAATTCTTGGTGATTTGCATACCGTTTGTCACATAAGTGATTTTTCGCTTCAAGAAAAAAGTCTAAGTTTAGCAAATGCTTTGGAGTTTTTACTGAGTGTTAAAAATTATATCCTTTTAAAATGTATCCGAGGAACATTATGGTTTCCATTACTATCCATCACCCCCAAAAAGGTAATTGAATACTTCTGTCCCATAGAAGACTATATAAGTCTTTCATGCTATTGTTGTCTATTTCTAGGAACAGTTGTGACAACTGTTTATTTTCCGGTTTAATAACAGAAAACTAAACGCTGGCACCACCACACCAAACAACAAAAAACACAACCCAGAAACAGAAAGTCTTCTGATGGGTTTACCTTTATAGGAAAGTTTAAGTCTTGGGATATTTTTCTTTGAAGTTCCAGTGACTGAAAGGAACAACATTACTAAGGATAATGCTGTGCAGGCATGTGGCACTTTGAAGGATCTCATTCTGCTGTTCTCCTGAGAGTCTTTTCTTGCATTCATGGTGAAAAAAGTCTCTGTTTTTCAGAAAATCCAAATGTAATCTGAAAGCAAAAAGAAAACATCTGTGTGTTTTTTGCATCCTCGCACACAAAGTTTATGAAGGCAGGCCAGACCTATAGTTAGAGAATAGCTTATGCAGAAGTCACTTTGTTTGCCATAGAAGATTTTTTCTCCAGTATACACCAAAACTCTGTAATCTCTTTTCTATAAAACTAATTTGGTAGACTAAGCTGGAAAAATATGTAAGCTTTTGGACAACATCTAGCATAGCTAACATTTAAGTACAAATTAAATTATATATAATACCCGATAAAAACAGTCACTATTCAAATGACAGCATTTACCAAATTACCACACATTAATGCCTTGGCTATCTCTATATAGATACAACAGCTATTTTATATACTTATATTGTGAACTGGCTACATTGTAATATCTCAGATACCGTGGTGTAGTAACTGGAGATACATGTTCATTTTAAGGTAATTGTACATTCATCATCAACTTATTTATAAACTAAAAAAAGGGATATTGAAAGCTTGTACTCACTTTCAGGAGAAAAACAATGACTGCTGATACAATGTAAACATACCTTCCCATATGTTGTTCTCAGTGAACTAACTAAGACTTACTTAACTACCTCAATCCACAAACCAAAACGTCCTAGGAACGCTAAATGGGGGATTCCAGGCAAAGGTCAATAGCCTTGGATAGGCCCATCTCAGCGCAACATGTAAGAAAAGCAAGCTTTGTATCACCTTTTACTTAATAATCATAATATAATACCTAGCTCTTTTCATCCATATATCACCAAGTACCTTACAAAGGAAGGTAATTATCACTATCCAGGGGAAAAGAGAGACACAAATAAGTTGCAGTGACTTCAGGAAGATCACATAGTAGTCCCTGTATAGAATTGGGAACAGCAAGATTGGATTTTTTTTTTCCTAAAAGATATTCATGTTTGAACGAGAGCATTGTTTTGGGGAAGTTCTATGGCCTTTGTTATGCAGGCACTCAGGCTGGATGACCACAGTGGTCTCTTCTGGCCTTAGAATCTATGAAAATGACCAGAGCAGATACAACACCAGTGATTAACAAGTAGGGCTGCTGGGAAAATGATGACAATTTTTTCATTAACAATTTTTTTTCTGAATTTTTTTTTTTTCAGTTGACTCTAAAAAAAACAATTCCGGTGCTCTGATCAACTAATTTGGTGTAAGAACCGGGGGAAATGTTCTCTACTGACCCTTTTAGATGAAACACAGAATGCAGAACCCCTGGGGAGGGAACTAAGGTGCCTTTAATCCTTTATGCCCTCCGACATTTGGGCTGCTCTGTGGCTCTCGGTGTTAACTTAGCATCAGTTTAGCTCTCAGACAAGCTGCAGCGCTGCCCAGGATCTCCACGTATTGCATGCTGTAGTCCTACCCCCAGCACATCCCTCCTGGCCCCAGCCTCTCCCCAAGCACATCCCCTACACCATGGCTTGCAAGGGGGTCCTTGGAAGATTGCGGAGGACAGTTGTAAAGCTGTGTCTTGCCAGGGAAATCCTTCCTCCGCCTAAACCAGGTGGTTTTGAGCCCTTTACATTACTCTGGTACTTCTACCTGGTGTAAAGAAGCTAGAGCCGGGGTGAGGATCTCACCTGGGAACATCCTTCCTATGCCAACACATTCGGCTTCCTCCCTTTCCTCCTTCAACTCTCTCCTCAACACACACCGGGACCCTGCCGCCTTTCAATCTGAATCTACGCCTGTAGGCTAAGCACAATCACCCATTCATTAAATAAAACCCCAAAGTAAGCATTTGATTGTTTGATTTGTTTTTTATTCTTTGCCCTATTGGAATGTAAATACCTGAGAAAGAGAAATCTTGTTTACTCCATAAATGTGTATTACTGAGTTCATTATTAGTGCCCAACAAATAATAAGACACAGGAAGTAACTGATGGTGACATTAATGCTGGTCGGTCGGTCTCTCTCTCTCTCTCTATATATATATATATACACACACACACACACACACACACACACCTCTACCCCGATATAACGCTGTCCTTGGGAGCAAAAAAATCTTACCGCGTTATATCGAACTTGCTTTGATCCGCCAGAGTGCGCAGCCCCTCCCCCCCGGAGCACTGCTTTACCACGTTATATCTGAATTCGTGTTATATCGGGTCACGTTATATCGGGGTAGAGGTTTGTGTGTATATTATATATATATATATATATATATATATATAATAAAAATAAAAGACTAAGAGGTGAAAAAAGATGCACAGGCCCTGTCCATTTTGGTGAATGAGAGTGAAAACTATACTCCAAAGCAAGAAATTATCTAACATCAAGTCTCATTACAAAGATTGCATAGGAATCATGGCTTGGGTGACTGCGATTGTGCTAAACCTATAAGGATTCCACCAGAGGGTGGGAGGGTCATTTCCCTGGAGGCAAGAGCAGAATTAAGTTGTAGGTCCAAATTCACCAATGGTATAAGGAGGCGTGAATGTGACGATTCACTGACATCTGCTGATTTACAACCAGCACTGAATTTAGCCTTTTGGCTGCATAGAGCCTGACTTTTCCATGTAGAAATTGCTGGTTATAGGAATCCTCCTTCCTTTGTTTTATCTGAACTCTGGCTGTGGAAAGAGGCCAGACACAAGGGGCTTACTTTACACTTGAGGCAGCTGTTCAGTGAGTTTGAGCCAAACAAGTCCCATTAAGGATGCACTGCAGGCTAGCCAGATTTTTTAAGTTATGTTTTTTCATAAGTTCATCCTCTAATACAAATCCAGCTCCAATACAGGACTCTTCCCAGGAGATTAATGACTAGCTCAGGTTAATGGACCTCAGACCAATTGACTGGTCATTAATCCCCAGAAAATGCCCAACACCTGCTGGGACATCTCTAATGTAGATCAGTGTCCTATACTCCATTTGACCAAATCCATAAGCACTTCTTTTTTTAAAAAAAGAGGAATTTTATCAGAAAGAATGAATAGAGATTCTGCTTACTTCAGTTATTTGATGTTTCTGGTAAGCGTCTATCTATGCTGCCATAGTCCTGTGAGATGTACTGAACCAAAATGGTGGACAAAACATTTCAAGAGAATGAGGTTTAACTTCAAGCAGGGCCGGCTCTAGGCACCAGCGTTCCAAGCATGTGCTCGGGGCGGCCCTTTTTAAATAAAAGGCTGAGTGCCGCCCCTTATTTATTTATTATTATTTTTTGCTTCAGCGGTGACACTCCATCCCCCCTCCCTTTTTTTTGCTTGAGGCGGCAAAAAACCTGGAGCCGGCCCTGACTTCAAGAGCTTTATCATGAAGCTGTAATGTATCTGCATTCAGTTCTTTTATGTTTTTGATTATCCTCCCTTAGTACTTTGCTGAAAAGCGTCTTAAGCACAAACCTCCTTTTACGTACGCAGTAGCTCCAATGAAGTAATGGGGACTATTCACATGCTTAAAACTGGGTGGGTGCAAAAGCACCTTGTTGAATCAGGGCCTATGTGCTTGACTCTGCAGTTAGATCTTCTCTGTGGAACTCAAATTTGAAACGGGTTATGGGCTAGCAGAGCTGCCAGCAGTCAAACCACTGATGTGCTGGTATTCTGCCATCTTGGGACAGCCAGGGCTATCCAGATGCACGTGACTAGTGCATTTGTGACATTATATCCCTGAAAAGAGGTGACATCTTAGTGCAAGTGGTCAGACTTAGTAAAACTTGTAGGATAGATTACTCTGAAACTACTGTCTGAAACAGGCAAACCTGGAGCCAATTTATTTAGCATAATTTATTCCAGGCCCTTTGTTGGAACAAACAGAGCTCAGCTAGACAGTCCCCTATTGGCTGCAAAACTACATCAGTTTTTAACACATTGTTCTGTTAAATCTGATATCTAAATGCAAAAATCTAGCACCCAACTTTCCCTGGCATCTTGAAGTCCAGAAACAAAGGACAGCAACTCACCCACAAATGTAGATTTTTCAACCATGGCTGATATAACACTCATTTGAATATTTAATTTGTGGTTTTTACTTAATTGGAGTATAACTTAAAACCCAGTTACCACTGTTCATGCTCTGAGACGGTTTTAAAATGATGAGTTGTGTATTATGTGAGAGCGCACAATGAAAACTGCTTACAGCAAATAAAGTATTTGACTCTCACTAACAATGATGTAAAAATGAAGTAATGACAATAAATCCAGAGTAAACCTAGAGAGTTTGGCCCATTGTGATTATAATAATTAAGAATAGGGTCGGAAAAATTAGGAGACAATGTCTACTCATAAATATGTTGGGTAAGTTACTTGGCCCCTTTGTTTCAGCATGCATAATATTAACCAGGGTTTTTAGCGGAAAAGATGGTTGTCCAGTAAAAGAGCCCATTTGGGCTGTCTGATCCAGGGCAATGCACATGACAGACATTCTGTTGATCAGACCTATGTTTAGACCCATACATGAACATACTGTATGCAAGGGTTAAATACTGACTGTAGTTGCAAAAAAAAGACTGGAAATGTATTCCACCTACAGTTAAATTTCAAATATGTAGAGAAATATATAGAGTTTCTAAATATATTATATACAGATAAAAACATCCACACAAGTTCTAAATTTATTGCTAAACAACTGTCTTGCAGATGACTAATTACAGTAAAACAGCAAGACATATTTCCAAGAAGGATATTTCTATAGTTGGCTCGTTTATACTTCAAAACTGCACCATAATCACGAACTGGGTATTGGAAATCTAGCCTTAATCAGAAGAGAAACTGGAAACGTATATGACAGTCAGATGAATAATTCAGCAAATAAAACACAGACAGAGTAAAATGTAGTATCCGGGTTCACTTAGCATCCAGACTCTCTTTTTAAATAACAAAGATGACATTAATCCAGAGCACAGTGAAACTATGTTCTTTCCCCTTTCAGATAGGCAGGATATTCTGCTGATAGACAGTTTGGCAAAGAAAGCTTTTCTTCTCAATGGGAAATCTCATTATAAATCTAACTCCATCTGAGACCTAACA